ATACTCAGGTGGGCCTTGCCTATGCTTTAGAACTACAGTAGATGCAAATATAGAGAAATTATTCAATGTTTGCCCTATGCAGTGTGCTATTTGCATTTTTATCTGTTTTTTCAATTATAATGTTTCAGATTTTTTACACATTTTTTTCATGTTAATTTTCATGTTAATTTATGAATTAAAATAGATATATAAACAAACAATATGGAATGCAAGTTTCGTATAATTCTCTATAAGACACAGATTTTTGTGTTGCTCATTCAATCAGATTGTTTCGCTTAAATATGGTTTAGAAGATTTAGTCTTTATTTTTAGAGGTGAAGCGATTTTCCGCAGCGGTCCACGTGCTTAAGTGTTGCTGCGGGGAGAGAAGCAATGCAGATAAAGTGCTTTGCTCAAGGAAAGCCAAACACACAGCAAAGGATTGAAACCCTGACTTCATCAACACTTTTCTTGACACTCTACTTAAACCAATACATTTTTTTTTTTTTTTTGAAATGCCAAGATGGTGTCCAATGATGGATAGTTTTACCAGAATGTGTTCCTCAAGACAAAAACTGCATCGGGTCCAGCCATCATCAGGGACAAAGACAACTCCCTCAGACATTGGCTGCTGAGGGGAGGGTGTTGTGGTCACCCAGCAGCAAGACAAACAACGGATGAACTAAGGGAGGATGAGATCTTCGAGTCAAAGGTCAACCATGTTCACTTTAAAGAATAGGCTTTAGGTTATTATCTTTTTTCAATACAGAATCATTAGTAGCTGAACTGCCAGAATCAGAACTAAAGACAAAACCACCATTCACTTTTGTTTTTCTATTTGATATGACACGATCTTTACTTGGCGCTATGCATATAGAAATAGTCGAGGTTCTGGTTCTGGTGGGCAAAAATTTAGGAGTATAACAGTTCAAATATGATAATTTGAGGGGTACCACACCTGTCACCATGTATTGTGTGGCTGTGGAGAGAATCTTCAGATCAGGCCATCCTGCCAGCACACACTGGCTACAGGCCTCTGTCTCCCAAATGCATTATTCAACAAATTAAATAATTAAAATGAATATGATAAATTGTGGGAATTAAATACATCTGTTCCTGAAAAATATTATTAATAATATAATTATTTAAAAAATAAATAAAAATAAGAATAATATAATAGTAATTTTAGAATAATAACAATTTAATGCTTATTTCAAAATAATAATCTACTTTTGAGAATTAAAAAAAAACTCTGGACTAGAAAAAATTAATATATTATAATTATTACAAAAAAAAAACAAGTGAAAATAAGAATAATAATATTAATATTAAAATTATATCCTTTAATACTCATTTAAAAATAAGAATATATGCTTGTAAGTATATAAAAAATAAATTATGAATAATCATTAATCTGTCATATACTCTGTCTTACCTTTTTGTTTCTTCAACATCATTGACAGATTCGTTAGAAGTATAACCTGTAAGGGATTAAACAAACATGTTATTAATAACAATAACTTCAATAATGGTAATGGAAGGTTATGTTTTTTTACAAAAATATATATTGCCAAAGCTCTATGAGTCCTTAATATGATTTTCTAAGGATAAATATATATTTCAGTATTTATTAACCTTTGTTTTTAAGATGCATCTGATTTGAAAAGTGGTAGATATATAATTATGACATGACATAATTAATGCATCCTTATCCTAACAAATGACATGCAATTTGTTGACTATATGGGCAATACAAATCACAACTGGCTGTGGTAATGCATCTGAAATTGTAAACAAGTACCATCCTACTATTATTAGTAATTCTTCCTTATTTTACCTTTGCATTTTTAATGGTCTTTGAAAAATGATACACATCTATTATCCATGAATGCAAATGGTAACAATTGCATTATTTATGATTTGCTAGCTATACCATAATTATCAGTGCAATATTTAACAACAAAGACAGCTGTTTTCTCATCATACTTGTGAAGACGTACCACGCAGTACTCCAATTACAGTTTATTATCTTGTATTTTTGTAACATGCGCAACAAATTCTACCAAAAAAAAAAAAAAAAATCAAGGCTTGATTGGCTAACTGTGTTACTGAGGATGGATGCAGTTCTTTGGATAGTTGATAAAAATTGATATTTTAAAATATATATCTGGTTCAACGAAGCTTTTAAGTGCTAGGCTTGTGATTTGAGGCAAGCGATTGCACTCCCATACACCATCACTCACCTAAACTGCTCTTCAGGGGTGTGAAAAAAATAGAGCACCTTGGGTATGAAAATCACTCACCTTAAATCTAGTAAAAAAAATCAGGTGGAGTGGACGGTATTCCAGATTAGAGCAATGTTTTATTGAAAACTTGTATATTTATATTATGGTCTGGCATGGCGTCGAAAATTATGTTCACCATAAATACCTAATGCAAGATTATTGATTGTAAAAGCAAATTAACATAAAAGCACACTTACAGGCTGATACTCTACAATGTAAAAATTACCCACAATGCAATTTAAAATGATGGAAATTACCTTTATAATAAAAGGAACAATATTTCGATGCAACTACCAAAATACAAGCAAATTAATTGAGCTTTTATTCAAAAAGAAGGAATCATATAATTATTATGATTCTTCCTATTCGAATATCTCATGTCAGTATTTCTTGTGCTGAAGACCCCAGTTGAAACCCGGCTAGTAGCAGGTTTTAAACGGTTTCTGATCACTAGCTTTGCTCCTCGAATAACCCTTATATTGAAAGTTCAGCGGGTAAAGGACAATGTTTGTATCCATATGTTGTAGTTAGTTAAGTCAGTTAACACTGCACTGTCATTGGTCCCCTAGTTCAAATTTCCAATTTACAATTAGAATGAGAAAAATAAAAATAATATTATTATTAAGATTATTACTCTAACAACTGAGCTATGAAGCCACACTACCTTGTAGGATTTAGTAAACAACCTCATCATAGTTTCTTTGTGTTTATTTACTATTATTTTTATTCACAATTCAAAATTGAGAATTTTAAGCATGCAATAGTAGATACTTACTATGCCATTCAAAGTCATTTTTTATGTTTTATTTTGACTGTTTTTTTAGATGCTCTTTCAATAGGCTGACTTCACAATATTGTAAAACAAAATTCAAGCAAATTAACATAAAAAATTTAAAAGATGCTCTATTACCTCTATACTGTTACTATTCAATGTTTCAACTGCATTCCTGACTATCATAGAGGGCACTATTGAGATTAGACTCATCATTCATGCTGTCATATGTGGACTGGGTACTCTGCTCAACTTGCTGGCTTTTAATTGGTTCATCTGAAACCAGCGAGGCCCTGCTTCTATTCACCATAGACTTTACTGTGCTTTCGTATATAAATGAATTTTTCTGTCTTTCGTGCAAAACTTCTAAAATAGATTGTGGTATATTTTGCAGAAATACGACAAAAATTGATTAATGCATAATATAACCAACATGTGAAAGACATCTCAAAAAATCATCTGATCAATATACATACTGTTGTTAATAAATTTATATTGTATTTCACATCGGTAAAGTTATGATCAGTGAGAATCAAGGATACTGGAAATTGTGGGCCCTGATGGGGAGCGAAGATGAAGTGGGGGTACTGTACTGGCTCGATGAAGTGAGGGGGAGCTAACTCGCAAAAAATATTAGTCAACCAGAAATACAGATTTGAAACACCAAAGTTGGATGTAATTGCAACAAAACGTTTTTCCATGAATATATATAGTTAAAATTTATCTCTACAACATACAAAAAGTTCACCAAAATACACCCACGGGGAAGGTGATTTTTATAGCAAAGAAAACTGAACTACTGTACTTCACTGGGCTGCTATGCTTTGCCTATGATAATGTGTGCAGTATCTAGGTTACCAAGCGCTTTAATTTGGCTTCTGCTCCCACTTCTGATTGGTTAACCTTACCTTACCTTACAGTCTGCGCATACTATTACTAAAAGTTACGTCGCACGTCCCACTGAAATTTGTTTTGTGTTGAATATTAGCCTAAAAGCCGTAATATTTGATTAGATGCTCAGTTATATGAATTATATGAAACGTACGATTAATACTACAGTTGGTGAGGCCTGCCCTATGCATGCCGACCCAGCTGAGACTCGGGAGTCGGAAAACATGTGATATTTTCATAAATATAGGCATAGGCCTACTAATAATAATATAAGTTTTCTTACCTAAAAACATATCAGGGATTTTTCTCCTGACAGTAAAACTTACTACTGCTTTGTTTTTCTTTTGCATTTGCACATAATAATAACAGGCAGACTTGTAGCGCAAATAAACAAGGTCTCAATGCTTCCCCCAAAAAAACTACAGTATCACATGAATAGGAAGGGCGGGTGCACATACCTGTCTCCAATTGTTCTTTTTGGTTTCCAGTAACCAAATTCTCCATTGAAGACCATTTCTTTCATATTAACATACGAGTAGAAATCAATAAGATGTTTGAACTTGGAAATCCTGGAACCACTATGCACTAATAAAGAGATTAAGATATTTTCACATGATACATTGCATCCTGAAGAAGTTACTGCAAATGCTTGGTGTTGAATAAATTATGTAAAGTATTAGTATAAGTAACTGCTGTTTTAGTTTTTACTTTTGGTTCAGATTAACACGGCAACTTTAGGGGTCCTAAAGCTGGTTTTCCACTAGGCAAATTTATTCGCACAAATCAAAGCGTCGGTTAGCTTCCTGAGCTCTGATTGGTTGCGCATTTTTTCACTTCGCAAAAACTCCGATAGGAATGTGAATGCGCTTTTCGTCTGCAATGCAATTTCATATTAAGTCAAGAAGATGCCTGAAAATTGTTGCAATAAACTGCATAAATGAAAAGGTACATCATATTTTATTGCAACATACCGGTATCTCTGCCCACAAACATCATCTGAATTACCTATAATACATGACTCGAGTGAGCGTGCATTATTATAATTTGAAAAGTATGAGAAAAAAAGTGCAAAGATAAGATTGGTTTTCGGCACATGTAAAGTAAATACATCAAAGACAATTAAGATTTATTTTCTATGGTACAATATATCACAGCAATGTATTAGATCGATGATGATGAATTATACTATACAAGAGTGTCATATCCAGCAATCTAGAGGTACTATTTCCCCGAATTTTATCACCTCAGCCCAAATTATAGTGGGGTAGAGATGGGTGTGGACTCACGGTTCTGAATGCAAAAGTAAATACATCAAAGCCAATGTTTTTAAGTTGTATTTTCTACAGTACCGTACATCAAACATATTAACTAGATATATATGATTGTCGGAAATAAATTTGTTGGCGCTTCATTTTGACTATAAAATGGTGATGTGATGATGATGAATTTTACTATATGAAAGTTTCTTGGAAACTAAACATAGCACTTTATAGCAATAGAATACATGTCATGAAAGACGGGCAAGAGTTTTCACCCTCTCAGGTGAGCAATATTGTATCGACAAAATTGGCCAGTGCCAACTATCAGAGCTTTTTTGCTCAAAACTTGTTATTTAGTAGTGTTAATTTCATCTTTAAAATGTGTTCAAATATTTAAAAATTTAGTAATCAACATCATTATTAGTTTCTCCTTGTTCACAGTTTAGAATTGAGATTTGATTTTAAGCATGTAACAGTAGTTACTATGCCATCAAAGACATTTTTGATGTTTTCTTTTATTTTGACTGATGTATTTTTGTGATTCTCTTTTAATTTATGTTGACACAAAAATTGACACACAAAATGAAAAGATTCCAAAAAAGAAGATGCTCTATTACCTCTTTACTATTAGTATTCAATGTTTCAACTGCATTCCTGACACTATGGGCGCTATTAAGATCAGACTCATCACTTATGTTATCATATTTGGATTTATGTTTAATCATAGTGGCTTGCTGGCTTTTAATTGGTCCATCTGAAACCAGCGAGTCCCTGCTTGTACTCACTATAGATTTTGCTCTACTTTCATTTGCAGCAGAATTTCTCTGCTTTTTGCATAAAACTCCTGAAATTTATGGTGGTATCATTTTCTGGAGGACCAGGAAAAATTGATTGATGCATAATAACAACCACAGACCCTATTGTGATAAAACTAAGTTGTAAATAAGACATCTCAGAAATTCATCTAATCAATAGTATACACACACTTCTGTTATTAAATATATATTGCATTCAACATCGGTAAAGATCAGTGACATATAAAGGAGTCTGGAAATGTTGGGGCTGAGGGGGGAGTGAAGGTAAAGTGGGGGGAGTGCTCGATGATTAAGTGAGGGGGAGCTAGCTCACAAAGATAAGGTGATTTTTATCTACTTGAGATAATTGATTTCTTTTGCTTTGAACATTATCAATGGAGGAGGTGCAAGTGTTTAGAGAGGGCGAGTGAAATCTGCCTCCCACCGGCCACCTATATACAGTATGACACTGCCATGATTTAACTTTTTATGTTAGAATTTTACATATGTACTGTTTTTTTTTTTTTACCTTTAATTGGGTTTCCTTTTTTTTTTTGGACAAATAAAGTTTCTCTATTTTAATAAAATCAAAAGGGTAGGCCTACTGGGTTTTGCTTACAGCCTATGGATGTGTGCAAAACCTACTTTAAAACACTTAATGGCTCCTGGGGAGTACTATCAAATTAACCAAGTATAGTGTGTAAGGCTGGGGTTTAGCCAGAAAAACAAAACAGGCTGCCCAAAATGGAAGCTAGTGGGCGTGGCCCTGAGCTGATGGGTGGGCCACGCAACCTCCCAAACATAAGGAAAAAAAATAGAAAATTATGATCTTTAGAGGGCATTTAAAGGTGTTTAAATGTTGGAATTTTGTCTTCAAAGGAATAGTGTTGAATTAGCTATCACAAAGATGTTTTGGTTATAGTCACTCACATAATGTTTCTATGCTATGAGAATAATCTACTCTAGGGCCTCCGAATAGACAGATAGGTCAAACCTACTGTATTTTTTTGACTAATAAAATTTACCCTTAACTTTACGGTATTCATTAATTAATTATAACCAGAGAGTTACGAACACCAGCAATATTATGTCAGAAAACCGAATTTCAAATATTGTACTTGCAGAGCTACGTGCATGCGTTGTGGGCGACTCAGAACCGTCAATTTTCCAGAAAGTATAAACGTTTTAAACATGACGCATGTTGTTAGTGAATTTTTCACAGCCGTAGGCAATGGTTAAGCGTTATATTTTTGGGAATCCCTACCGAATATTGGTATGAAAACAATATACATTCAATCAATAAAGGTTGTTTTTAAAAAATGCAAATATGTTTTATCTTTAGTTGAATATATTATTCGATAGATTTGAAGAATATAAAGAATTTGCTAAAGGTAGACCTGGCCCAATTAGGCTAGGCTGAGCTGATTAGGTCAAAAGGTAAAATTGGCCGTTCTAAACAATTGATGGCCGTCCAAAAGACGAGCGGACGGCTCACTGGCTAAGCCTATGGTGTAAGGCCACACTGCAACCACAATGGGCTCTAGAAGTAGTGTAATTTGTGGATTACTATAAACTTACCGGGTGTGTCCAAGGCTCGCTGGCTAAGCCTATGTGAGACCCCCAAGGGTTTCTGCCTTGCTGAGGGCTGCTGGGTGGATTTAGTGGCATAATTGTCTCATCTCCTTCATAGTAATTCTTAAAAGAAAAAAAAAAAGAGATAAAAGAATAGATGACCTCCTGCTTTGGATTTTTCTCTCGTAAAGCAAAAATTATTAAATGCTGTTTAATATTTGGATTCGCATAATAATAACAAGTAGATCTATAGTGCAAGTAAACAATATGCTTTTCCTATTAAAACTAATGAAAACCTAAACTAAGTGAAAACCCCTCCCTCCCTCCCTCCCCCCCTTTATAATATTATGTAACTGACATATTTTCTTTTTATATTTTGATTATATTTGACTTTGTACTTGAGTATGGTTTTTAATTGTACTTTTGATGTTTCCTTCTGTATTTTCTTGTTTGTGTTCCTTTGTACATTTGAACTACACTACTTGGGCTGCTACTGTACTTATGGGGCTTTTTTTTTAAAATAAAGAATAAGAGTTTATCATTGTTAAAAAAAAAAACCATTGACTAGGATAAAGATTTCCCATACGAATAGAATATACGAATGGTACTGGGTAAAAGACAACTTGATATCTTGCTTCAAACAAGGTATTCATTCGTAGAAGTCTTATGAAGACAAGCCTATCCAGTAGTGACATTAAAGGGTCGGGACCAGGACATACCTTCAACTTTAGATTGACAAAGATTGAGATATCTTAAATAGACACAATGCATACACAGGCCTAGTTCTAGAGTCCAGTTAAAATATGTAATATATAATGTATTTGTGAATTTTCTTTCCTTATAGTTAATCCATGTCAAGTCTGTAAGTAAAAACAACATTTACTTATAAAAAATTGATTTATGAATGAATTTATTCCCTATGATGTAATATTGTATTGAATGACATATAATCATATTTTTTACTTAAACATTATGTGTCAATATTTATTAATAGTAAAATAAATTAGATTTAACGTAAATATGGAAGAAGCATGAAGAAAGAAGAATAGGGAAAAAACTCAGAGCAGCTGAAATATTTACCAAAAATAAACAATCATTTTGTCAATATTGCATCACGTTTTTGTGAAAATCTTTTAGTCTCCAATCTTCAGAGGTCAAGGTGCCGGCATCCTACATGTTTCATATATACATGTGATTTCCAAGATTTCTTTATATGAAAAAGGGTGTAAAGCTTTTAGTAATGCTATAAAGGCCAAAAAAAAAAAAAAAAAAAAAAAAAAAAAAAAAAAAAGAATATGAATTTTGCCTTGAATGATTTAGTAGTAGTGCATATGAACAGGCTGAGAATATGCTAGGAATTGCATTTAAAGATAAAAACACACCCACGGCAACACCCCCTGGCAGTGTATGACAGTTGCTTTTGAGTTCGTAAAAGATATAATAATAATAATAAGATATAACGCCTAATAGCCTAATAATGTATAATGCGAGTGTGCGTATAATAGAATAGTTTTAAGAATATATGAAAAATGTTGCATATATACAAAAGAAACTGTGTGCAATGTTTTATTTAAGATAAAATTGTATAAATAATAATAAAAAATATAATAATAAGTAATATAAGCATTTCTTTCATATTGACATACAAGTAGAAATCATGATTCTTAAACTTGGAAATCCTGGAACCACTATGCGCTATAAAAGGATTAAGACATTTTCATATTATAAATAGCATCCTGAAGAAGTTTGTTGCATAACAAAGGCTTTGTGTTCAATAAATTATATTTTGTAAGTTTTTTTGACTGATTTAGTTCAATCCAATTATTTTTCAATATTTTATGTTACTTACGCTAGCTTTCGTCTTGTTGTCAACAAGACTTCATCAGCTGAATGAGTTCAGTTTATTATTCACGACTACTCAGGTGTCCTATATTGGAATAAGTCACTTCATGGAGATCATATAGTTCAAATTTGTTTTCATGTACTTTATTTCAGTTTCTGGTTTTACTGCTTTTTCTTTGTAAGCATTTCAAGCTTTCTAGTCCTTATTTTTGTTGAAAGTAAAGTGATCAATGAAACCTGTAAGCTTGTAAAATAACATACTAGCTAAGAATCCATAGCTTACCCTTTCAAATGACTATAGCGGCAGTACTTGACTTTTTCAAATTTTTCATCTGTCTACTTAAAGACTAAATGACACTTACAGCCAGCCAACTGTTGCCCATTTGGATCATCACAGGACTGCAGCTCTTCCAATGCTGGTCGTATCTTTCATCATTGATGTTGAATACCGAGCTTCTAATTAAAAAATAATTAAAATAAAAAAAGTGCACAGTGCCTTTGATCATTGATTTGGAATTGACACTACAGTATATAAATCATTAGCATTACAGTATATTATTATTATTATTATTATTATCATCATCAATCTAACCATTAAATTAAAACATTTGCTGATCTGTACTGATATGATGTTAAATAAAATAATAATGATAATAATGATACTGGTATTACTGGTATTAAAAATGATGATGTTAAACAAAGCTGATTACCAGTATGTAAAAGCCAGACTTCCGAAGGATAATTTATCTCTGTTTTGCCATTATAATATTTTTAGTATTTTAATATAAAGAAAACTACTTTTTTTTTTGCATGGTTTATCATTCATGAATAATAAAATAAAAATTATGAACACACAATATATCAACAAACAATTAATGGAATGCAAGTTGCATGCAAAATACTCTTTTGATTAGAAACCCTGTGCAGTGTTGATCAATATGACTGCATTGCCTTTAATAATGAGTTTAGAATATTTGTCAATTTTGTTTTATTTTAGATATAAAGCACTTTTAATTCCCCCGGGTCCACATGCTTGAATGTTGTTTCTGGTGGAAAGAAACCAACTGTGCAGATAAACTGCTTTATTCAAGGACACAAGCAAAATGCACAGCGAGGGATTGAAACCCTAACTTTAAGAACCAAGATTCTATTCCATTTATTGACAAATATACAAGTACAGTACATGAAATTTGTTTTCATGGGTTGGGAATACACATTATATAGATATAAATTAAATAATTACCTGAAAGACATAAATACAGTGCATAAAATACTTAAATTATATTTAAATTAACAATAAATAGAATATATGAGGGATGCCATCCAAAACCCAGCGTTACCGTCGCTGTATGTTAAACTGAGTAATAACAATGTATATGTCAGTACTCTACTGTACATACTTTAGTACAGCAAAGCTGTAATACTTTTACTCATAACTTTGGCAAAAGTAAATCAGTTGCAGTAATGAGCCATCATTTTAAAGCTTACGATGTAAAGAATCAGAATATATTCAAAACTCAATTTTCATTTGTTGGTAACTGCTGCTGGTTTTGGGATGGCAAGCTTCATGATACAGTAATGAAGATCTGAGTTGTACTCTGAGGAGGTAAATGAGAAAATTAAGCTGTTATATATGGAGGTCAAATGTTGAATTTGAGGGGTTCCCCACCTGTCACCATGCATTGCATGGCTGTGGAGAGAATCTTTACAGGCTACATATCCTGCACTCACACAATTATTGCTACAGGCCTTGTCTGACAAACCAGTATTCAACACATTTTTTAAAAAAATGAAAATGAATGATAAATTTTGGGAATTGAATAATTCTGTTAATGAAAAAAAAAATAATATAATACAATTATAAAAAAAAAAAAATTAAAATAAGAATTATTAATAGTAATTTCAAAATAATATCATTTAATGCTCATTTCAAATAAGATCTACTTTTGGGGTTTTGTCTACAGCCTGGCTGGGTGCAAAACCTACTTTATCAAGTTAATAAAGTTTTATCAGTGGAATACTGTGTAAGGCCACATTGCAACCACAATGGGCTGTGCAAGTAGTGCAATTTGTGGATTACTATCAACTTACCGGGTGTGTCTGTGGCTTCATCGCTGAACAAATAAAGTTTCTCTATTTTATTAAAATCAAAAGGGAGGCCTACTAGGTTTTGCTTACAGCCTATGAATGTGTGCAAAACCTACTTCTCCTGGGGAGTATTATCAAATCAACCAAGTGTAGTTTTTAAGGCTGGGGTTTAGCCCGAAAAATAAAATAGGCCGCCCAAAATGGAAGCTAGTGGGTGTGGTCCTGAGCCGATGGATGGGCCATGCAACCTCCCAAACGTAAGAAAAAAAAATTAGAAAATTATGATCTTTAGAGGGCATTTAAAGGTGTTTAAATGTTGGAATTTTGTCTTCAATGGAATAGTGTTGTATTAGCTATTACAAAGATATTTTTGTTATAGTCACTCACATAATGTTTCTAGGCTATGAGAATAATCTACTCTAGGGCCTCCGAATCGACAGATAGGCCAAACCTACTGTATTTTGTTGACTAATAAAATTTACCTTGTGACATTAACGACAACAAATCTTCTTTACGATATTCTTGAATTAATTATAACCAGAGAGTTACGAACACCAGCAATATTATGTCAGAGAACCGAATTTCAAGTACTGTACTTGCAGAGCCAGGTGCATGCGTTGTGGGCGACTCAGAACCGTCAATTTTCAAGAGAGTATAAACGTTTTAAACATGACGCATGTTGTTAGTGAACTTTTCACAGCCGCAGGCAATGGTTAAGCGTTATATTTTTGGGAATCTCCACCGAATATATTGGTATGAAAACAATATACATTCAATCAATAAAGGTTGTTTTTAAAAAACGCAAATATGATTTAGCTTTTAATTGAATATATTATTCGATAGATTTGAAGAATATAAAGAATTTGCTAAAGGTAGGCCTGGCCCAATTAGGCTAGGCTGAGCTGATTAGGTGAAAAGGTAAAAGTGGCCGTCCTAAACAATTGATGGCTGTCTAAAAGACGGGCGGACGGCTCGCTGGCTAAGCCTATGGTGTAAGCCACACTGCAACCACAATGGGCTCTAGAAGTAGTGTAATTTGTGGATTACTATAAACTTACTGGGTGTGTCCAAGGCTCACTAGGCTAAGCCTATGTGTGACCCCCAAGGGTTTCTGCCTTGCTGAGGGCTGCTGGGTGGATTTAGTGGCATACATTGTCTCATCTCCTTCATAGTAATTCTTAAAAGAAAAAAAAAAAGATAAAAGAATAGATGACCTCCTGCTTTGGATTTTTCTCTCGTAGAGCAAGAATTATTAAATGCTGTTTAATATTTGGATTCGCATAATAATAACAAGTAGACCTATAGTGCAAGTAAACAATATGCTTTTCCTATTAAAAAAAATGAAAACCTAAACTAAGTGAAAACCCCTCCCTCTCCCTCTCCCCCCTTATAATATTATGTAACTGACATATTTATGTCTTTTTATATTTTTATTATATTTGACTTTGTACTTGAGTATGGTTTTTAATTGTACTTTTGATGTTTCCTTCTGTATTTTCTTGTTTGTGTTCCTTTGTACATTTGAACTACAACTACTTGGGCTGCTACTGTACTTATGGGGCTTTTTTTTTAAAATAAAGAATAAGAGTTTATCATTGTTAAAAAAAAACCCATTGACTAGGATAAAGATTTCCCATACGAATAGAATATACGAATGGTACTGGGTAAAAGACAACTTGATTTCTGGCTTCAAACAAGGTATCCACTCGTAGAAGTCTTATGAAGACAAGCCTATGCAGTAGTGACATTAAAGGGTCGGGACCAGGACATACCTTCAACTTTAGATTGACAAAGATTGAGATATCTTAAATAGACACAATGCATACACAGGCCTAGTTCTAGAGTCCAGTTAAAATATATGTAATAATGTATTTGTGAATTTTCTTTCCTTATAGTTAATCCATGTCAAGTCTGTAAGTAAAAACAACATTTACTTATAAAAAATTGACACGGATTAACTAAAGGAAAGAAAATTCACATAAAATTTACTGAATCCAGAATGAATTTATTTCCTATGATGTAATAATGTATTGGATGAATCATATATTTTACTTAAACATTATGCGTCAATATTTATTAATAGAAAAATAAATTAGATTTAACGTAAATATGGAAGAAGCATGAAGAAAGAAGAATAGGGAAAAAACTCAGAGCAGATGAAATATTTACCAAAAATAAACAATAATAATCCTTTTGTCAATATTGCATCACGTTTTTGTGAAAATTTTTTAGTCTCTAATCTTCAGAGGTCGAGGTGCCGGCATCCTACATGTTTCATATATACATGTGATTTCCAAGATTTCTTTATATGAAAAAAGGTGTAAAGCTTTTAGTAATGCTATAAAGGCCAAAAAAAAAAAAAAAAAAAAAAATTAGATGATTCTGAAGAATATGAATTTTGCCTTGAATGATTTAGTAGTAGTGCATATGAACAGGCTGAGAATATGCTAGGAATTGCATTTAAAGATAAAAACACACCCACGGCAACACCCCCTGGCAGTGTATGACAGTTGCTTTTAAGTTCGTAAAAGATATAATAATAATAATAATAATAAGATATAACGCGTAATAGCCTAATAATGTATAATGCGAGTGTGTGTATAATAGAATAGTTTTAAGAATATATGAAAAATGTTGCATATATAAAAAAGAAACTGTGTGCGATGTTTTATTTAAGATAAAATTGTATAAATAATAATAAAAAATATAATAATAAGTAATATAAGCATTTCTTTCATATTGACATACAAGTAGAAATCATGATTCTTAAACTTGGAAATCCTGGAACCACTATGCGCTACAATATAGGATTAAGACATTTTCATATTATAAATAGCATCCTGAAGAAGTTTGTTGCATAAAAGGCTTTGAGTTCAATAAATTATATTTTGTAAGTTTTTTTGACTGATTTAGTTCAATCCAAATATTTTTCAATAGTAAACTAATATTTTATGTTACTTACGCTAGCTTTCGTCTTGTTGTCAACAAGACTTCATCAGCTGAATGAGTTCAGTTTATTATTCACGACTACTCAGGTGTCCTAAATTGGAATAAATCACTTTAGGGAGATCATATAGTTCAAATTTGTTTTCATGTACTTTATTTCAGTTTCTGGTTTTACTGCTTTTTCTTTCTAAGCATTTCCAGCTTTCTAGTCCTTATTTTTGTTGAAAGTAAAGGGATCAATGAAACCTGTAAGCTTGTAAAATAACATACTAGCTATGAATCCATAGCTTACCCTTTCAAATGACTATAGCGGCAGTAGTTGACTTTTTCAAATTTTTCATCTGTCCACTTATAAGACTAAATGACATTTACAGCCAGCCAACTGTTGCCCATTTGGATCATCACAGGACTGCAGCTCTTCCAATGCTGGTTGTAGTCTTTCATCATTGATGTTGAATAGCGAGCTTCTAATTAAAAAATGATTAAAATCAAAAAAGTGCACAGCGCCTTTGATCATTGATTTGGAATTGACACTATATAAATCATTAGCATTACAGTATATTATTATTATTATTATTATTATTATTATTATTATTATTATTATTATTATTATTATTATTATCATCAATCTAACCATTAAATTAAACACTTGCTGATCTATACTGATATGATGTTATATAAAATAATAATGATAATAATGATACTGGTTAATACTGGTATTAAAAAATGATCATGTTAAACAAAGCTGATTACCAGTATGTTAAAGCCAGACTCCGAAGGATAATTTATCTCTGTTTTGCCATTATAATATTTTTAGTATTTTAATGTAAAGAAAACTACTTTTTTTTTGCATGGTTTATCATCCATGAATAATAAAAAAAAAAATTATGAACAGAAAATATATAAACAAACAATTAATGGAATGCAAGTTGCATGCAAAATACTCTTTTGATTGGAAACCGTGTGCAGTGTTGATCAATATGACTGCATTGCCTTTAATAATGAGTTTAGAATATTTGTCAATTTTGTTTTATTTTAGATATAAAGCACTTTTAATTCCCCCGGGTCCACATGCTTGAATGTTGTTTCTGGTGGAAAGAAACCAACTGTCAGATAAAGTGCTTTATTCAAGGACACAAGCAAAATGCACAGCGAGGGATTGAAACCCTAAACTTTAAGAACCAAGATTCCATTCCATTTATTGACAAATATACAAGTACAGTACATGAAATTTGTTTTCATGGGTTGGGAATACACATTATATAGATATAAATTAAATAATTACCTGAAAGACATAAATACATTGCATAAAATACTTAAATTATATTTAAATTAACAATAAATAGAATATATGAGGGATGCCATCCCAAACCCAGCGTTACCGTCGCTGTATGTTAAACTGAGTAATAACAATGTATATGTCAGTACTCTACTGTACATACTTTAGTACAGCAAAGCTGTAATACTTTTACTCATAACTTTGGCAAAAGTAAATCAGTTGCAGTAATGAGCCATCATTTTAAAGCTTATGATGTAAAGAATCAGAATATATTCAAAACTCAATTTTCATTTGTTGGTTACGGCTGCTGGTTTTTGTGATGACTACTGAATTATTCACAATTAGAATTGAGTTTGAAGCATGTAGGGCCTATAGTAGTAATTACTATGCCATTCAAAGATATTGTTTGTTTTTTTCTTATTTTGACTGCTTTTTTTTTTTGTGATGCTTTTTCAATTTGTCCATCAAAATAAAAAAAATTATATAATAGAAAAAAGCTGCTCTATTACCGCTTTACTTACTATTCAATGTTTCAACTGCACTCCAGACACTATCATAGAGGGCGCTATTGAGATAAGACTCATTCATCCTGACATGTGAACTGGGTACTCTGCTTGGCTTGCTGGCTTTTAATTGGTCCATATGAAATCCCTGCTTCTACTCGCTATAGATTTCGCTGCAACAAAATTTTTCTGCTTTTGGTGTAAAACATTCTGAAGTTGACGCTTGTGTCTTTTGCTGGAAGAGCAGGAAAAATTGATTATTGCATACTATAACATGTAAATAAAAACATATCGGTTTATTCATCTAATCAATTAAAATACTGTTGTTGTTATTAAATTTATATTCTATCTGAAATGATTCTTTTTTTTTTTTGGATTTGCATATAATGATATTTACAGGTAGACCTATTTATACAGTAGTACAAATAAACAAGGTCTCTATGCTTTCCCCATTAAAACACTAACAAAAATCAACAACCTGCATAAATACACGATCCTATATATTTTACTGTTGTATTTTGTATTGATATTGACCAGAGGCTTAGAGATGACCACTTGATGTGTTCTTGGGCTTTCCCATGTCATCTCTAATCACACCCCTGGTCAATATATTGAAAGGTATTTGAGAAATCCTTTATTCACATAAAAACTGTTTCATCTTTATAGGGAAGGGCATTTAAAAGGCGAATTTTCAACACTGCATGATCAAATCAAAGGCAAGATCTTTATTTACCTGAGAGTATTTGTAAAAAATCAACTGAGCTTCTTGTTCAAATCCTGGACTGTTGATTGTGATTGGGGGAAGGGGGGGGGGACATTAATACATAAAATCAGATGTAACCTATAGAGTAAGAGCAGGCATAGAAGAGGTGGGCTTATACCCCAAAACACTGCAGTATCACATGAATAGGAAGAGTCTGTACACATACCTGTGTCAATTGTTTTCAAATACTCTTAAAATGTTTCTCAAGATATGAATTTGGGAAGATATCAAATTCTACATTTTTTCTGTCCTCCATATCGCCTTTCTTTGCTTGTTTCAACCTCAGTTTTAGTATTCACCATCAGGTCGAAGGTCAATAGTCAGGTGGGCTTTGCCTACTGCTTTTGAACTAGTACAGTAGATGCAAAATGCAGAAAAAAAAATGTTGACTGTTTGTACTATGCAGTTTGCTAGATGCATCTTTATTTGCTTGTTTTTTTAGAATTATAATATTTTCTAGTATTAAGAAATACATTTTTTTTTGCATGTTTATTGTCATTTATGAATAATAAAATAAAAATTATGGAAGGATATAAACAATAAGTAGAATATAAGGTCCGTGCAATATACTCTTTTAAGCCGATGGGAAAACCAGTGTTCATTCACTGAGTTCATTGTGTTCCTCATTAAATCAGACTGCTTTCCTTAGGTGGTATGGCAGTATATTTATTAAGCGCATATTACAATAGTCTCTATGCGCTTGAAATGCAAAGTCTTGGAAGCAGAAGTAAAAAACCGAATAATATCCTAAGACTAACAAAAGCAAACAACCACAGAGACAAAGAGAAGACAGCAGAAAGAACCAGTCTCACTGCTCTGTTCTCCAGCACTTTGAGGCCCAAATGAATAGGGCTCGCTGGAATATGATTCACAAAAGCTAAAAAAAGGAAAACTGATTAAAAAGAGCAAAACAGGTGAGTCTTAAAGCCTCGTCTTAAACACGGAAATAGATGGAGACTCACGAACAGCGTCAGGTAATGCGTTCCAAAGCTTTGGGGCCAAGACACTAAATGAACGCTTGCCAAAAGATTTTAAACGGCAGGGTGAACAGTGGAGTATAAATGAACTGGTTGTGGATCTCAGAGTGCGTGAACAAGTAGCCGAACGTAAATTGAATAAGGTCAGATATATATTTATATGTGGAATGATGGAAAGATTTATAAACAAAAAGTAAAATCTTGAACTCGATGCGCTGTTTGATGGGTAGCCAGTGGAGAAGACGAAGAGTAGGAGTGATGTGTAGGGATCTAGATGTACCACCAACAAGACGAGCAGCGACATTAAGCTGGAGTTGTAGTTTCCTAGTTACAGAATTGGGTAGTCCATAAAAAACTCCATTACAGTAGTTGAGTTTTGATGTGACAAGTGCATGGATCACTTTTGCGGTGGCATCTTTAAGTAACCCCAGTGACATGTTTGATGCTGCAAATTTGATAAGAAAACTGTTCTGCATATATTAAGGACATGTTTCTTCAATGACAAGGTGGAATCGTGTGTAATACCAACATTGCGAACCTCTGATGATGGAGTAATAATAGAGTTGCCAATTCTGACTGTATTTATAACATATATTATCCGATAAATTTTTGGAAAGCAGCCACTTTGCTAATTTTTGCTGCGGAAATGGAGCCCAACGTTTTCGATAAGCCTTCGTATGAGAAATCAGATAATTTAAAAAAAAAAAGCTCAGAATGCGAAAATAAAATAACCTTTGACCGATGTCAAACGGCCATGCAAAGAATTATTTTTGAGAGTTAGTTTTTACGGGAACTATTCATAGTGGCCTACTGTATGCTTAGGATCAAACACTTTAAAATTAATATAAGTAGGATATGTCATGCTTATTAAATAATATAACGGAAACCAGAAATGGCTGAGCTCGACGTCGACAGTGCCTAGCTGGGCCTAGGTCTAAGGTCTAATCCCTACCTACTGTATCGTTTATTGTACTGTAAAGCACACCAAACAAAGCTATAGCATTCTTTATCCTCTTTTCCTCCAGTACATTTGTACAGCAATACAACTCACTGTGATGTATTAATTAATTCTAATTTCCTTGTCATATATATTGTTTCTAAATACGGGTTCTAATCATACAGTATGTTATTATTTATGCATTTCTATATGTATTTTTTGTAACCGTGCAATGAAATGTTTGCCGCCTAGTATTTCAATTTTTGAACAATAAATGAAATCTTGAAATCTTGAATTTCTATATAAAACTTCTATATAGAAGTACAATAAAACATCATTGTGACAGTATTATTTCCCAGAATGAAATAACATAGTACTGAATATTTCGTTCTTGGCCTCACACAAAAAAAAGGTAAACTGCGTGTCAACAAAATGAATGTTACGATGTTGAACACATTGCACTGTTGTTCATAATGTTGCATGATGGAATAAAATATTTGGAGGGAATTTTAAGATACTTTATTAGAGAAAATTATGGCAGAAATTATAAGTGCTGCGGAAACACGGCCTTAAATACGGGTTTACAAGATTTGATCCTTTCACCCACTTTTTAGATATGAAGCACTTTTCCCTCAGGGTCCATGTGATTAAGTGTTACTTGTGGGTGGATGCAGATAAAGTGATTTGCTCAAAGACACAAGAGAAATGCACAGTCAGGGATTGAATCTCCAACCTCAAGACTCAACATTCAGATTCCAGTTACTTTTATATACATACAGTACATGAAATTTGATTTCCTGAATTAGGAATACACAAAATATACACAAAAGTTAAATAATTACTTGAAAGACAAAGATTAAAAACATAAATACAGTGCATGCAATACTTAAATTACAGCTAAATTAATAATAGAATATACAGTAAAGAAGTTCTAAATGAGGTGTATACTGAGCAGAGGAGGTAAACAAATTTGAGTTGTTTACAAAATGGATCAAAATAGAAGAACAAAGCGAGGATGAACCACTGTGCACTTTTGTTTTTCTATTTGATGTGACACTCTGTACTTGGTGCTATGCTGGAAATAGTGGAGGTCAAATATGTTGATAATTTGAGGGGTACCATACCTGTCACCATGCATTGCATGGCTGTGGAATGATTCTTCAGATCTACAGGCCACACATCCTGCCAGCACACACACACACATAAATTTGGGGAATTATAAATACATCTGTTCCTGAAAAATGTTAATAATATAATATAATTATTTTTTAAAATTATTAAAAATAAGAAAAATAATAGTAATTTTATAATAATAAAATTAATAAAAATAAGAATAATAATAGTAATTTTATAATATCATTTAATGCCCATTTCAAAATAGGAATCTACTATTAGGAATAATAAATCTGTTGCTAGAAAACATTAATATAATTATTTTTTAAAATTATTAAAAATAAGAAAAATAATAGTAATTTTATAATAATAACATTAATAAAAATAAGAATAATAATAGTAATTTTATAATATCATTTAATGCCCATTTCAAAATAGGAATCTACTTTTAGGAATAATAAATATGTCGCTAGAAAACAATTATATAATTATTTAAAAAATAAGAAACAAATAAAAATAAGAATAATAATAATAATATTAAAATAATATCCTTTAACACTCATTTCTAAATAAGAGTATAAGTATGTAAGTAAATAAAAAGAAAATAATGATCAATCATTAATCTGTCATATACTCTGTCTTACCTGTTTGTTTCTTCAACATCATTGATGGACTCACTAGAAGTAAGCTGTAAGGGATTTAAGAAACTTGATAATTATATAAAAATTAAATAACTTTCAACAATTCAACAATTGGTTGGCCGTAACTAGTAATTTTGTAATTTTCTATTTTTATTTTAACTTTCTCCTTTTTCATCTTATTTTTTTACTTTATATAGGACTTTATTTTATTATATTACATTGTATTAAACCATGTATTAATAATAATTATTATTATTGTACAAGGTATTTAAAAAAATTATATTTATATATAATTATTCTTACTAAATTTGAATTTTTCTTATTTTCAATTTCTTAATTTGTGTTCTATTTTTAAAAAACTATGCGCCGTTTTTTTTTGTTTTTTTTTTAATTTATTCTGAATGTATTGCTATCATTCTTTCTGTGTTTCCTCGTGTTGATTTTTATTGATTGGTTAAAACTTCAATTTTGTATACAAGATTGCAATAAAGTATAAAGAATTAGAATTGTAATTTCACTGTTCCCTGGAATTAGTAACTTGAATAATGGTTATGACAGGGTACAGTGTCTGTAAATTAACTGCAGGTTACAAATCAGGCCTGGAATTTCCCTTCTTCATATCTATGTTAATGTTTTTTTTGTTTCTTGTTTGTTGCCTAAAAAAAAAAATTATAAAAGACACTAAGACATACAGAACATAACACTAAGACATATAGAACATAATTTTATTTTTTTCTCCTTTTTTTTTATAATTTGTCCCCCTTGAATCCTCCACTGATATGCAGTTAATGACTTTTGTTAACACATATAATTTTATTACACACATAGTGTAATCGGCACTGACTTCCATAAGACAATTGATAATGAAATATTGAAAACCTGTAAACATTATGAATTTGTGTGAGATAGGTTATTTCTGGGAGATTGTGGGAAGGCGGAAGGTCTTCTGGTTTTCAGGAGACTCCCGCGAGTTTCGGGAGACTTGGGAACCCTGCTACTCTAACAACTAAGTACTACTCTACCTCACTGTAAACAACCTTATCCTTAAGTTTCTCTGTGTTCATTTACTACTAATTATTCAGGAATTGAGTTTTTAAGCATGTATATTAGTATAAGTACTATGCCATTCAAAGAAATTGTTTGTTTTTTTCTTATTTTGACTGCTTTTTGTGTGATGCTCTTTCCATTTCTTCCACCAAAATACAAAAAAAATGTATATAAATAGAAAAAAAATGCTATATTACCTCTTTACTTTCACTATTCAATGTTTCAACTGCATTCCAAACACTATCATAGAGGGCGCTATTATAAGACTCATTTATGCTGTCATATGTGGACTGGGTACTCTGCTTTCTGGTTTTTAATTGGTTCATGTCTTTCATGTATTTACTTTACCTACTTCAAAACTGTCCACACGCATCTCAGCCCCACCTATGGTGGTAAAAGGTGGTAAAATTTGGGGAAATTGTACCTCTAAATTGCCGGATATGACACTCTTATATAGTAAATTCATCATCATCAATGTAATTAATCACTGTGATATACCGGTACCATAGGAAATAAAACTTGATTGTTTTTGATGTATTTACTTTACTTTATCTAATTCATGTGCCGAAAACCAATCTTTTATTTGCACACTTTATCTCATACTTCTCAAATTATAATAAAGGCATCGCACTCGAGTCGCGTATTATAGGTAATTCAGATGTTTGTGAGCAGAGACACCGGCATCTTGCAATAAAAACAAGATGTACTCTGGTTGTAGAGCACTCTTTCGTTAAAACCTAGGTCATTTAATATGCAGTTTATTTCAACAATTTTTGGGCATATCCTCTTGACTCATGAAAAGTGAGGGGGTCCCCCTTCCCCCATGATCTGCTTCCACGGGTGCATACATGGGCGTCAATCGGTGGGGACAGGGGGACACGTCCCCCACTTTTCGGAGAGTGGTGACATTGTATCGATTCTAAACCCCACTTTTCACCAATCTTCTATAATTAAAACCCCACTTTTAAAAGCAAATGGAAAGAATAACAATTACGGATGACTGTCATGAATTTTGTCTGTTCACTTTTCCAAGTGCGGTACGTATTTTCCAGAAAAAAAAACCGAGTAAAAACTCAATTGTTTATACATTTCGTAACCATCTCAGAAACCATTAGATCGATTTTATGGGTGCAGCGGTTATCAGAGGCTAAATTTATTGTGAAAACAATGTACTGAACGTTGTTAAAATTGGAAGCGTGTATACTTATAGGCCAATATTATTACAAATATAAAATTTCTACTATAAACGATTCTTTCCTTTTGTATATATTATTATGACCCGTACATATATACTAGTGTTTAATATTATCTACATACATAGGATTACTGTTTTACCTAATTTCAAAAAATTATAGTTTAGTCAATTAAATTTTATATAGCCACTTTATATAGCTATTATTATTATTTGCCACGGACTTATTATTTGAAACGGACATGTCTATCTATTTCGATTTAGTGATACCAAAAGTTTACAAACTCCATTGTTTACATTGATGCAATTATGCAATGACGTCATAATAATCAGTGGCGGATTTAAGTGGGGCCGAGCCGATCCTAAATTTTTCAAATTTATTTTTAAAAAATGGAAAAAAACAACGGAAAATTATAATTAAAAATTAATTCTAAGAGTGCCATTTCCGGCAATCTAGAGGTGTCATAGTCATAAATTTTCTTTCCTCAGCCCCAACTATGGTGGGGATGAGGTGATCTACATTCCCAAATTGTGCAAGTCCTCCATGTCACCCCTCTATTTTGCTTTCCTGGAGTCGCTACTGATAATGATAAATTAAGTAAATTACTTTTATGTTTGTGAAATCAAAATGCTAACTAATGTTTTGTGTGCTCCCTATCTCCCTAGTCCTGTTTGATCGTAACTTAGACGGTATTATTTTCACTCACAATAGTGTAGTCGCAATATTACTTACACAAAAGTGAAATTCTAAAAGAGGAGAAAAGCAAAAACCTCTTGATTGATTTTAAAAGTATTGTACAATAAGAAAGACTAAATTAATGACTGTTTAAGAATTATCTTATTTGTTTTTCATGGTTTGAATTTTAAATACGTCACAAGCTAATTAGTAGATAATAAATCATTATTTTTATGAATGTTAGTTTGCACGAAATATATAAGCGGGCATAATTATGACTAAAAGGATAATAGTAGCAGATTCAAAGGGCCCAGCCGGCCCATCATCGCTAATTTTTTTTGTTCGAAATTTAAAAGTGGAGAAAAATGAAAATTATATTCAAATTCAGTCTGAGAGTGCCATTTCTGACCAACTATAGGTATCATAATCATAAATTGTCTTACCTCAGCCCCAACCATGGTGGGGCTGAGGTGGTCTACACTCTCCAATTGTAAAAGTCCCTTTCTGGGCCCAGCTCTATTTCAAATTACTGGATCCACCACTGGATATTTTGAAAATTTTGTATGGAAATAAATGTTAATTGCATTGCTTATAATCAATTAAAATGCTAGGCGCCAGACCTTCCCGGGGGCCGAAGCAATTCATATTGTAACAAAATGGTGCAGTCCACCCCCCTATCATAAATAGATTAGGCCACTCCCTAATGCTGGGAGCCGATTGGCTATCTAAAAATAGCTGGGTTGGGATCTTAAGACCCATCGCCCAAGACATGTAGTAGTTGAGCTCTGGATCTCATGAAGTTTGAACTGGGAAATCCCGACGTTATAGCATTAAGTAAGGTAGGACCTGTAGTAATTCTATAAAATAGTTTATAGTCCAACTCAGTCATTAAGACTTGAGAGCCCAGTAAGGGACAGGCCTACTTATAGTTTAATTCCGGTGTTAACGGGAACCAGTCGGCGGCTGCTGTGTGCTCCGCATATGACATTGTATTTGTTGTTGATAATGGTACCAGTTTTATTGGTCCAATAAATGCTATGAGAAACTCAGTTAATTGTGTTTGAAGTTTATTTAATAGTCGATCCGTATTATCTGACGGCGTGTCCGACTGACTTTACTTACGCAGGACTTAGACTAGACTGAGACTGCTTGGCCGAAACCGCCACAATATCAACAATATAATACAACAATTATTTTTCTTAATACAATTTAGGGGGATGCGATCGCACCCTCTGCATACCCCCTGCATCCGCCCCAGTATTATACATTTTATTTTATTTTGTATTGTTATTGGCCAGAGGTTTAGAAATGACCACTTGATGTGTTGTTGGGCTTTCCCATGTCAACTCTAAAAACCTCGCTGGTCAATATGTAGTTAAATACATTTAGAGAACCCCTCTATTCATGAAAAGGTTTTCAACTTTATAGGGAAGTGCATTTAAAAGGCAAATTTTCAACACTGCAAGATCAAATCAGAACCAAGATTTGTTTCCCTGAAAGTATTTGTGAAAGTCAATTGAGCTTCTTGTTCAAAACCTGGGCTATTGATTTGGGGGGGGGGGGGAGACTGGCACATATGAAAATTGACTAATGCATAATATAACATGTAAATCAGACATCTCAGAAAATCATCTAATCAATATACATACATACATACACATAAATCATATTGTATTTAACATTGGTAAAGTTCTCCTATGGTCAATGACATATCAAGGAGTCTGGAAATGGTGGTGCCTGATGGTGGAGTGAATGTGAAGTTTGGGGTATCGATGATTAAGTGAGGGGGAGCTAGCTCGTAAAAATAAGGTGATTTTATATCTACTTGAGAGTAATAGTTTTTCATTTTCAATGGGGAGGGAGTGAAAACTGCCCCCTACCCTCTACCCCTTAGATATGCCAGTGCTATGATTTAGCTTTGTAAGTTGTAATTTTACATAGGGGGCATATACAATTCTTTTAAAGCTTTGTGTCTTTATTGAGCTTGTCGACAAACGATTTTCAATTTTTTTTATTCATATTGTACTTATTTACAAAATTGAAGATGGTCAGTGGCTAATATCAGAGCCTCCTTGCTCAAAACATGTGTTCCGGTTTTTGTTTGATTGTCACCTTTAGAATGTGTTTCGATATCAATAAATTTAGTGAACT